AATGCCTGACGATATTCAAGTATAGTGGGATGATTTTGTAGAAAGTTTCAATCTGACTTAAATAGACTTTTGTTAGGGAGTATATGCATATACAACATCAGACAAAGACACAACCAACAGCTAAACACGGACGCACACACTTTTACATCCGTCGCTTGCAGCTTAATAATTTAGACGTAACAACTTGCAGCTTCGTACAGATTAAGACGCATACAGCATACAGACATAGATATTAAGCATGTCTCTGGACACATCAAAATGGCTGGCGACACATTCAAAATGGCTGGCGACACATTCAAAATGGTTGGCGACACATTCGAAATGGCTGGCGACACATACAAAATGGTGCTTTAGTGTCTAGTTGCTGTAGAAATACACCTTTTAGACGCACACGATTCTGCTAAAGACACACACCTTTTGGTTAAAGACACATTGTTTATCTGAATAACTACAGCTAAACTGTTTATTTTCAAAAGCGTTTAGACGCATGCCGCCATATAATTTCAATCAATAACACTTTTAACACAATGTTTGAAAATTGTTTTTCCAATAACCTACATCTATTATTGTTAAGCCAATGGAAAGTAATTTTGTATTAAATTGTGAGTATTTTTACCAAAAATAACACAAAAATTGTATGTAGACAGTTATATAAATCAATATTTATATAAGTGATCTAACGTATTTTATTTTCTATTTTAAAAAAATGTTGAGTATCAAATACGAATATTTAATTGTTACTGTTGTAATTGGAATAAGAAATTTGTTTCTATAAGCTATAGTTGTTAATCTCATAAAACGTAATTAAAACAAGAAAATGGAAACAAATGTCGTAGAAAAAACAACATGTTACTGGTGAGTCTACAGGCTATACAAATGTGTATTAAATGTGTCTGGTTGTTTAGAACAGTCAACATACCATCTCACCTGATTTGTGTTTAAATCTACGACACGAGCAGTCTACGAACGAGTGGGGTGGACTTAAGTGCTGATGCTGAATTGATTGAGAATCTATAGTCTTTTGTTCGATTGACCTCACATGCCCGGGGGTGGGGTTAGGTGAGGGAGGGGTAACGGCTAGAGTCTGCCGTGTATGGTAATACAAGCATTGTTTTCTTCGTGTCTAAAAATAAGCGTCTGGAAGCCGTCTACGTTCGATAACTCTGTCATATTTGAATAGAAAGTGTCTTGGCAAAACTCGGGGTTTGTTACAAAGTGTCAAATTACGGAGAACACATTATGGGGGCGGGGATTGTCCGGAGATACTCCGAGATTTTGTAGATTGTATCACAAGGGGCCATGGTATATGCATATGTGGTTATGTTTACTTAAACAAGTGCTTACTAGAATGTTTTGGAATGCTGAATTTGTGTTTATATATATATATATATATATATATATATATATATATATATATATATATATATATATATATATATACTGATATATACTGATATAATGATCATATGCGCACTGATCGACACTGCAACTTCGCAAACTGCAACAACACTCAAGGCATGATTTTTAACAATATGGCTCCAGCTATGTAGTCCAAGATGTATGGCCCTAGCTATGTGGCTCTAATTGCCCCAGCTATGTGGCTCTAATTGTATGGTCCCATCTATGTGGCCACGGTTATTGAAATTCCGGCTGCTTTTTCCGCTGAGTGCCCCCACTATCCTGATCAACTATGCCAGGGGTCGGCAACCTTTTGAGCGGGAAGAGCCAAAAGTTACAATTTACATAAGTTCCCAGTTTTTAAAGAGCCACTAACATGTTTATTTCAATATTTTGGCATTTGATTAGGATTAGATATATACTTTTGAATTTTGATTTGAGATAAATAGCTTCAAATATGAAAGAATATTTATAATTAAAAAGCATTACTAATATTTTGCACTAAACACATTAAAGTATTTTACCTAGCTCTGCTATGATAAAATTAGTAATCAAATAATATAACTATAGGACTATCCCAAATCCAGTTTAGGAGCCAATAACTTTTTTTTTCTTTCTTTACGGACATCACCGGCACAGGGGGTGTCCCGCATAGCCAAGCAATACTAAACACGGTCAACTCCGACTACTGGCTTGGGTATCTTCTGCTACAGGTGTTTTGTCCACATAGGTTCTTTGACCACAGGTGGTTCGTCCAATGGTGGCGTTTGCTAGCAAGCGCTTTGTCCGTATATGGTAAGGATTAATTTTAGAAATTGTGTAATTATATTTTAAATTGCGGTAGGATGTAATAATATGTTAAATCATCTGTCATTTATTTAATCATACAAGTATTACTTCTGTGACTATACTGTTGGCATATTTTTTTATTTTTCATATAAGCTATGTATTTTCAAGTATATCTGCATTATTCTTTTGTGAAACTTGCTGCATATCGCATTATTTGTGTTCCATTTCTATTTAAAATAAATCTATGAGGCCTAGTACCAGCCTTTATGTGAAGACTAAAATATTGTTCTTGACGTTTTTTTTAGTAAATGTTTATTTCTATTATTTAGTTCTCAGGAAACATGTATGAAATTTTATAATTGTATCACAAATTAAAATTAAATAACAATTTATAATTTCTATTTTAAAATCTATATATTATGTGAAACTGCTTAAAAGATAAATTGTCTAACATTCAACCACACCACTTCATATTAAAATAAGCAGGGAGATTATTCAAGGGACATAACCCAATAGTATCTTAATAAAGTTTTAAAATAAATTTTTTATACAAATATGTTGGTATATGACCACAACAAAATATGTTCTGGAATCAAAGTATTGTTTCTTAAATTTACAAGTAATAAATATGTATTATTGACAATATTATATTAAATAATAGGATACAGTTATTTTAATAAAACCATAATTTTCTATGAACTGTTAATCGTAGTGGTCGTTATCAATGCCTTGTACGGTTACTCTGGTTTCTCTTCACAACGCGTAAATCTTTCGCCTTTTACTAAAGATTTCCGTGGAGAGGAGCATAATAATGAGTCTAAAACTCTATTTTTCAAACCCTACTTCTGTAGGGTAATAAACTCAATAAATGATTGGTAATAAGACTATTTTTCAAGCCCTACTTTGTAGGGTAACATATTAATTAATGAATGAATGAATAGTGTATATGTTACGGTCAAAGCCCGAAGTTCGGCCAAAGCGCGGATTGGCCGGCCAATCCGCGCATTGGCCAGCTCTCTTGGGCAAAGTCAGAAGAACTGAGAACTAAGATCGTATTTCGTACATTGGCCGGCCAATGCGCGCACTGGCCGGGATGTCCTGGCCAATGTTCTATCTAGACTAAGTTGTGATCGCATTTTCATTACTCTGGGTGATTTTCATTGAGAGTAACGTATTGTTTAGCTTTTGTTTGTATAGCATTATATATGCAAGACGACATGGATCAAAAGGGCCGTCAGACCATGAGACAGACATAGCAGATGGCTGTCAAAAGAAAAAAAATGTAAATCCATGTTAGTTTCCATATATGGGCTCTCGATAAAATAGTTACTGAGGAAGATCTTGAGAACATTGAACAAGAAATGGAGGTTGCCATAAATGCAACGACATCCTCATCTAACACATCTGCTGCCGTGGCGGAACGTCCAGACCAGTTGCGTGACAATAATGTGGCCAACAGATTCTGTATAGTTTGTGAAAAACATTGTAGTGCAGCTCATTCTTTTGGATCCTGTGGCAACGATGTCCATGCTATTTGTGGAATACCCAATGAAGCAGACGAAGGGTAAGGAGGGAACATTACCTGCAGATTGTGTCACAACAAACAAGACATCATGGAACACAGATCAGCAACTCATACTGGCTTGCAAACTCAAGGTGCTAAGATGCTTAAAACATCAAATACAAAATTTAAAGATGGTGAAGTGGGTGACAATGTACGCATCCGTTTTCCAGATGTTGACAGAGGTCACGGTGATCCCCGAAGCGTGATTGCAGTTGTCATGAGCGCCGAGGGCGGTTTCTACAAATTAGGAACGGAACATGGTGTTCTAAAACAACTGTATGCTAGAAGTGAGTTTTCAATTCTTCACGAAAAACTGCTCTTATTGTCGTCAGTTGGCACTGAGGAAAAATCACTACGAACCATCGCATTTTCACAATCATTGACTGGGGGCCAAGGCTACACTCGCTGCAATTGCACAACTAAGTGCACAACAAATCGCTGCAAGTGTAAATATAACAAGCTGCTATGTAATTCTAAATGCCATAAAAGTTCAACTTGTTGTAACAAATGATGATATTGATAGATTGAGACTATAGTACAATAACAAATTTGAATGTTTCTGTCATTTACTTTAATTAATAATCAATAAAGACTTAATTTCATGATCTTTACGGCATTAAAAAAACCCAAAATCTGCTCATGAAATTCTAATAAAGACTTTGGCCGGTCAACCATGGCCAGACCGCGGACTGGCCGGCCAAAGGCAGAAATCAAGCAGAGTCTCGGACTTTGACCGACCTATGGGAGGCAATATTGGCCAATGCGCGGATTGGCCGGCCAATCCTAGCATTGGCCGACTTCGGGCTTTGACCGTAACATATATACCGGCTACCGGGCTCAAGAGGTCGCACGCGGCTCTTTATAATTATATGTGCATGAAAATGGAGACCCGCATTTTGACATATAAAACAGCCGTGTGCGGCTCGTGAGCCGCCCCTTGATGTATACACTAGTCATTCATTAATTTTTATGTTACCCTACAAAGTAGGGCTTGAAAAATAGTCTTATTACCAATCATTTATTGAGTTTATTACCCTACAGCAGGGGTCGGCAACCTTTTGAAGCGGAAGAGCCAAAAGTTACAACTTTCAAAATTTTCCTGGTTTTAAAGAGCCACTACACTAACATTTTTTTTATTTCAAATATTTTTTTTTATTAAGATTATTAGTATTTGTTCAAGGAGCTGGAGAGCCGCATCTTGATATCAAAAGAGCCGCATGCGGCTCGCGAGCCGCAGGTTGCCGACCTCTGCCCTACAGAAGTAGGGCTTGAAAAATAGTCTTTTAGACTCATTATTATGCTCCTCTCCACGGAAATCTTTAGTAAAAGGCGAAAGATTTACGCGTTGTGAAGAGAAACCAGAGTAAACGTACAATGCATTGATAACGACCACTACGATTAACAGTTCATAGAAAATTATGGTTTTATTAAAATAACTGTATCCTATTATTTAATATAATATTGTCAATAATACATATTTATTACTTGTAAATTTAAGAAACAATATTTTGATTCCAGAACATAATTTGTTGTGGTCATATACCAACATATTTGTATAAAAAATTTATTTTAAAACTTTATTAAGATACTATTGGGTTATGTCCCTTGAATAATCTCCCTGCTTATTTTAATATGAAGTGGTGTGGTTGAATGTTAGACAATTTATCTTTTAAGCAGTTTCCCATAATATATAGATTTTAAAATATAAATTATAAATTGTTATTTAATTTTAATTTGTGATACAATTATAAGAATTCATACATGTTTCCTGAGAACTAAATAATAGAAATAAACATTTACTAAAAAAAACGTCAAGAACAATATTTTAGTCTTCACATAAAGGCTGGTACTAGGCCTCATAGATTTATTTTAAATAGAAATGGAACACAAATAATGCGATATGCAACAAGTTTCACAAAAGAATAATGCAGATGTACTTGAAAATACATAGCTTATATGAAGGATAAAAAAATATGCCAACAGTATAGTCACAGAAGTAATACTTGTATGATTAAATAAATGACAGATGATTTAACATATTATTACATCCTACTGCAATTTAAAATATAATTACACAACTTTTAAAATTAATCCTTACCAAATTAATCCTTAGCAAACGCCAGCATTGGTCGAACCACCTGTGGTCAAAGAACCTATGTGGACAAAACACCTGTAGTCAAAGCCGAAAACAGCGCTTGTGATCAAACACCCGTTGACAAACCACCTGTGATCAAAGACCCTCTGCTGAAAAAACACCTGTGGTCAAACACCCTATGCCTAAAGCTCCTGTGGTCTAAGGTCCGCGCACCATGAAGTTAAATGTTTCAATTCGGGATGAACAATTTAATAGGAAGTACATTGAAATAGGGAGTAACTAAATATTCTAATATAATAGCGAGTGTTTATTGTTTACATTTATTATTATATCGTTCGTAACCGAGTGTTGCATAATAATATTTTTATGAGTTTTGAGAATAACATAAAATAATTATTAATATGTGTGCATGGAGCCGAAGAGCCGCATCTTGACATCAAAAGAGACGCATGCGGCTCGCGAGCCACAGGTTGCCGACCCCTGAAATATGCTAAAGCTCATATAATCACTGCCCCTCATATAATCACTGCCACATTATGTTCGAAAACAATTTTAAAACTTTGCATTGCTTTCGGCTCAGTCGAGTTTAATGAATTATTTTAATATTGTGGTGTTAAAATGGAACAAAGCGTGTGTTTATGTTTTGGCGAAAGTTAGGTAGTAATTATGTAGTTGTTACTAAAACTACAACCAGTTATTTGAAAAAACCACACCAACCATTAAAAAAAAAACCACATTAACCATTTTATTAAAACACCATTAACCCATTGTTTCAAAAGTCTACAACATCCAATTGTTTAAACAATAATAACATCCATTTAAAAAAAAATAACAATACCAAACCATTGTTTAAAAACAACAATACAATTAAATCGTTACTAAAAAGTACACGATTTAAAAGTTTAAAAAAAAAACTACACCAAGAAATGTAACTCCCTTTGCCGACTGTAAAAAAAAAATATTCCAGACAACTGCTAAACAATGAACACGGTATATTGGATTAAGCTAATGATTTTAGCGCCTTTTTAATGCAGTCTCTAGACCACATTGAAACCATGCACTCTGCGCAGACGCAGACAGATAAAAATGTGAATGTCGCATCTATTCCACACAATTAAACTCTATCCAAGGGACATAATTCTGTATCAGTGTCAGCCCAAAGCTGCTTGCAGGCGGCTGGCCAGCATCAAAGTGCCGCTTCCACTACAGACCGCAGATCCTGAAGCTTCGGTCAACTTTAATCTGAGGGGTGGGGGCAAAACGGAAGTTGGGTGTGAAACTGTGCGGCTCCAAATGTCACGTTTCTGCTTGAATCCCGCGCAATAAACTCTTGGAAACAGGTCATTTTCTGTCCAGTTGATTGACCGACTGGCAGACGTGACGATATTTTTTTGTTTAGGTTTTGAAGGTCGAGTGGAGGAATAGTGAGGGAGTTGTAGCGATGTGTGGTGTTTAGAGGGGGGGTGTCTTTAGAAGGTCGAGTGGGGGAATAGTGCAGGAGTTGTAGCTATGTGTGTGTTTAGATGGGGGGGGGGGGGGAGATCAATACAACATAGTAACAGGGTGTTTTGTTGTGAAATCTCACAGAAATATTATTTGAACCCAAAACTTGACTGAATATTGTTAACAATTGTAAGAGAAACAAGAAAGATATAAATATCTACTGGTATACATCTAATAAAACCATACTACACTAAACCTTAAACTCTTATAAACCAGGCACATGGCATTGACAACTGACGACTACACTGGACCTGAAATGTATACTTGAAAGCTACACATAGCATCTACACATGTCATCTACAATTTGCATCTGGCACATACAACTGACATCGACACCTGACATATACACCTGACTTGGGCACAAGGCATTCCTAAAGATAAAACAAACATGTACATATAAAAACTGAACATTCTATTTTTATAAGAGTAAAATAAATAAAATATAAATAACATCTTCACCAACAACTACATCAAACATTCCCTTTACACGACTTTTAGATAACAGAGCTACGGACGAAAATAAATCAAGCAAATGTCACCATCTTATAACCCGCTTATTGTATTGCGCAAATGTCTTGTGGTGTAACATTTCTTGTGGCATTTGCATCTAGTTTGATGGTGACATTTGCTGTACAATGACAAATCTGAACCCGAGCATATCTTTGGTATATTTATCATGATATTTTTATCTGTAGAATTCCTTTTTTGTCTGTATAGCTAAACATGATCATTCATTATCTTCTGAAGGCTACTAATTAACAATTAACTCTGATTATGCATTTTGGAAACCGTATGGAGCATTACATTGCCCCTTCCTTCCAATTTTCACTTTTTCTCTAATACAATGATCTGAGTACAAATCGTCTTTGTTCTTTTTACTTAATTAGACGCTAGTCTTATCAATTGCACTTCACTGCATTAGCCGTACACGATAATTAATCGTGTAATAACGAAACAATACAATCGCAAATAGAACCAATGATAACTTTATAAAGATGCAACAATGAAGCAATAAAACACTATACAGTATAAAGATACCACAAAAAAGCAATATACAATGTTATAATGAACGGTATAAAGACACAATAATAAACTACTATACAAGGTCTTAACGAACCATATTGAGACACAATAATAAAGCAACATACAATGTTAAAACAAACGGTATAAACAAACTAAAATAAAGCAATGTATAATGTCATAACGAACGGTATAAAGACACAATAATAAAGAAATACACAATGCCATACCACAGGAGCATAAAGGTACTCAACTTGACAAACAAGTTGACTGTATCGAAAGGCTGAAGCCGATTGAAGCGGATGACTGAAGGTGACTGGAGCGGTTGACTGAAGCTGACTGCACCTGAAGTGACATTGGCGTGTCCTCCGGCGGTTCCTGTTCTGGCGAGCTCGTGAGACAATGGCAGCGGTCATCTAGTGCTCACTCCCAGCAGGCACGTGAGGTGTATAAACTGCACCCAATGACCCACTCACGTTGATGTTCAGTTCCTGCCTGCCTTGGTGTATTGGCTTGTGTCTGCAGACTTACAACTGACATCCCCTGCAAGTAACAAGCATGTCACCTTGTCTACAGACTTACAACTGACATCCCTTGCAAGTATCAAGCATGTCACCTTGTCTACAGACTTACAACTGACATCCCCTGCATGTAACAAGCATGTCACCTTGTCTACAGACTTACAACTGACATCCACTGCAAGTAACAAGCATGTCACCTTGTCTACAGACTCACAACTGACATCCCCTGCAAGTAACAAGCATGTCACCTTGTCTACAGACTCACAACTGACATCCCCTGCATGTAACAAGCATGTCACCTTGTCTATAGACTTACATCTGACATCCCCTGCAAGTAACAACTGACATCCCCTGCATGTAACAAGCATGTCACCTTGTCTACAGACTTACAACTGACATTCCCTGCATGTAACAAGCATGTCACCTTGTCTACAGACTTACAACTGACATTCCCTGCATGTAACAAGCATGTCACCTTGTCTACAGACTTACAACTGACATTCCCTGCATGTAACAAGCATGTCACCTTGTCTACAGACTTACAACTGACATACCCTGCATGTAACAACCTTGTCTATAGACTTACATCTGACATCCCCCGGCAAGTAACAACTGACATACCCTGCAAGTATCAAGCATGTCACCTTGTCTACAGACTTACAACTGACATACCCTGCAAGTAACAAGCATGTCACCTTGTATACAGACTTACAACTGACATACCCTGCAAGTAACAAGCATGTCATCTTGTCTACAGGCTTACAACTGTCACACCCTGCATGTAACAAGCATGTCGATTAGTAGTGTCTTTTAATTTGATCCCAGGTATCGTGTTTCTAGTCCCCCTTGGCCACTTAGAATGTACCCAGTTTAGATCTGACGTGAGTTTTACATTCCCTGTACTCACACGTGAACTGTTGTATCTAGTCCAAGAAAATGTAGAATTAATATAACTCCTTTCTAAACAAGTAAAACTAGTATAATACTGTAGACCCCCACCCTTCACTTAGAGAACAACACCATTTATAACCATGCTGAGATGACCCCCTGCACAGAGCCTAGCCACCCCCCCCCCAACCCACACCCACTCATATCAATAATATCACATTAGATATACAAGCAGAACAAAGGGCAGGAGAATATGTTGTATGCAGTGGCGGAACTAGAAAAAAAGGGCCACCCCGCAAAAAAAATTTTTTAGCCCCCCCCCTATATATATATATATATA